CCTTTTTAAATAAAAATCTAATTCAAAAAAAGAATTAAAGAAGAAAAATATCTTTTTCAATCTTCTTACTTTAAATATATCTAATAGAATAACAATGCAAAAATGGTGAGTCGAGAATCATGATTTTCAAACTCAAGTATCGAAAATATCATTTAGAGACATGTGTTTTCTAAGATTTAAAAATACAAGAAAGATAAGTTAAATTATTGTGGGCTCATTTTATACCTCTTTATTAGTTTTGACACACTTTGCATATCTTTTAATTTTTTATTCACACTTGTGCATCTTTCAATTTTGGCGTATATTGCACATCTTTTTATTTTGGGCTCATATTGTGTCTCTTTTAATTTTTGAATTTTACTTATTTTCTTAATATTTAAAAACTCAAAGTAAGCTCAATCTAACGATAAAAACAAACAACTTGATTAAGAAAATTTTGAATTGGATTCATCATCTTGTAAAAGATTTCAATGAGGTAGTAGAAATATAGGATGATAAAATAGTTTTAGTTTCAAAAGTTCAATTCATAAATTGGTATAATTTTTTATTCAAAAAGTGCAATAGCTTGATTAAGAAAATGAGAAGTAGAGACTTAATCATGAATTTCCTTCCTTTAATAATTTAGAAAAGTCAATCATCACTTACTTAAAATTTTTAGATAAAAAGGAGGTAAATTTTTTATTAAAAAAATTTGAGAGAAGTGAATTGATTCTTTTATGCAAAAATAATGTGAAATGTGATTTATGTGTGTTGATTAGAGATAAATCACATAAAACATGCATGACAAATAAAACATAATGATTACAAATTAACAAAAACATCAAAAATAACACAGAAAACATTTAAAATGAACAAAACAAAATAAAGAACATATACGCTTGCCTTAACTACAACATATAAACAAACAAACCAAAATTTATACGTTGTTATCTTGCACATGGTTTGATGATTCAGAAATTAGGTCTATTTAGGAGATTTTTTTTGCTTTTTTTCATTTGCCATTTTTGTAATTTGCTTATTTTTACCTTTTTTTTTTTGCTGGAAGAGTTTTTAAATTAGGCATTTATTTTTCATACGTCTGGATTTCCTACACCTAAGGAAAATAATGTCAGAAGAAATATTAGCATTCTTACAATCTTTACTTTTGTTCCACTTTTATTGATGTTGACGTTTATGTTTCAGTAGTTTTTCAAGTTCGCTTGTTATTGAGGCTACCCAATCTTGAGCCTTGAATCTTCATTGGATGGTGTATGGCGTTCCTAAAATTTTAGTACACACATAAATGAATATACATTGTAAATATAATTAGTTATAAGGTTGTGAGCTACAATATTTGTAATCATCAAAAATATAAACTTATGAGCTCGAGTTATAATAACATGCCAAATCAATTTATAACTGATCAATCATGAATCCAAGGTCATTTTCTTAGGTATTGAGGTGATTGAAAGTTTCCCAAAAATAGGTTATGGACCTAGGGTTTTTAGGTTTGTTTTTGAGCAATGAATTTTTAAGTTTTAAAATTTACATTGTATTTGGATAGTGGGTTATGATTGAATTATATTTGATTAATGATTTGAAGGAGTTCTTGATTTAAATTCTTATGTCAATGATAATCATTGAAGATTGTTATTGATTGAATAAATAGTTAGTTTAGAATTGTTGATGACTTTCAACTAAAGAATTTAAAGTTTTGGTTTTGCTTTGGATTGTGAAATTGATTGTAGAAGTCAATGATTTTGGGTATTTTAATTTTTAAATAATTATACCACTAATAATAATTAGTTGATTATCAAGTGATTGATCAGATAATCGAATAATAATCCATGGAGAATATAAAGTGATGATTTTGAGGTCAGTGATGGGATCACTATGCCATAGCACAGTGATGGATTGGATTTAAAGTTTAGAATACAATTTAGTGATATGTATGTGAATATTAGATTTTTTTTAAAAATTTAGGGAACTGACCTCAATTAAATATGAGAAAATTAGTGTACCAATTCAAAATTAGTTGTTACGTAGCACATCATAAATCATAGAAATTTCGTGCTTTCATAGTTGGTGACATTTTTGTATATTATTAAAATTGTGGTCTAGTTGAATCATAAATCCAATCATCATATGGCCTAATATTTTTTTTCTCGACCATGTTGAAACTTATTGAAACCATATTAAGAGTCAAAATGTGATTCAAACTCACTATGTGATGCCCAAAATTAATATTCTTATGTGAATCCTCTATAACACACAAATAATAACATCATCTGGTGTGAGGTACGCTTGGGTTATGCTTTGAACAAGGACAAAAAAATCATGACTCTGATATAAATTAGAGTAGTTGACAGACCTTTTTAACTAAAAAATTCACTCTGTTGATGAATTCATTTGTTAATGTCTTGCACCCATGTAGTAGTCATGTATTCATAAAAAATTCTTTGATTTCAATATTCATATTAGATGTGATCTATGAAGTCCTATACAAAAACACTAGATTCCAATTATGGTCAATCATTAATAATAGGTTTGGTAAGTAATACATAAAAAATGGTTTATCAAGCCTTGAGGTGAGCACAAAAAACACATAAAAAAGTTGTACAAGTATGTGCCAATAAAGTTAACCCTATTTGGATGAATAGTTTTGAAGCACCAGCCAGCAAAAAAATGTTGGAGTTCAATGAGGAATGTGTTCATCCATGGAGAGTCCAACCGTTAGATCACAATTGCAAAGAATTTACATGTGCTTTGTTAAGATGACACAATTTTGGAGCTTAGGCTAGTAGCTCCTGACTCTGAAGTAGAATTATTGAAATCTAACATTTTTAGGGATGATGAATTAAATAACCATGTGCTTTATTGAATTAAGTGGTTTATGAGAGTTTTTTTAGGTTGTTATGAGAAGCATTGAATACATAACCATTATTTGAAGCCAAGTGTCTTAATCATAATAATTAGAAACCTTTGCATAATCCTAAGAAGAGCATAATGATGGCTTGATGCCCATTTTGTAAGTATTTATCCACAATTGAAATTATCTTTCATTAGGTGCAATCTAACAAGAAGTTGTGGGGTGGGAAGTATTTTGCATGCTAGGATGCTTTTGAGGAATGCAAAGACTTAATGGATTTTGGTTACCTCTATAGTAAAAAGAATTTTAGGAGGAAAACTAAAAGGTTTATAATAAGGTCAATGGTGAGTGACGATCAACAGAGGCACTATAGGAAATTTAGCCATTTTCAGCAGAAAAATCTGCTACAAAACAAACCAAATTTATTCCAAATTTAACTTTTCGGCAAATTTGCAACAAATTTATGGTAGAATACATTCCGACAGTGAAAGTCACGTCAAAAAAGTATTTGCGACTAACATAATCTGTCACAACTATTTTGTGGTGGATTTGTGACGGATTTGCGGTGGAAAAATTTCCTTTAGAACATTAAAAAAAAGGTAAAAAAATACTTATCATTTATAACCAAGGAACCACAGTCCAGTCCGCGGAGCTAGTGTCGAAGAGAGTCTGGGAAGTATTGGAATATAATGTGCTATAACCATTATTTGAGAGTTTTTTTGGGTTGGCATGAGATGCATTTAAATACATAATCATTCTTCATAATTCGCATAATCCTAAGAAGAGAATTAGTTTGGGTTGATGCCCATTTTGCAAGTATTTGTCCACAGTTGAAATTATCTTTCTTTGGGTGCAATCTAACAAGAAGTTATGGGGTGGGAAGTATTTTGCATGCTAGGATGCTTTTGAGAAATGCAAAGACTTACTGGATTTTGGTTATGTCTATAGTAAAAAGGAATTGAGGAGGAAAACTAAAAGGCTTATAATAAGGTCAATGGCGAGAAATTTAGGCAAAAAAAATCCGCCAACAAACAAGCCAAATTCATTGCAAATTTAACTTTTCGGCGGATTTGCAACAAAATTACGGCGAAATACATCCCGACAAGTGAATGTCACGTCGAAAAAGTATTTACGACTAGCATAATCTGTTGCAAATATATTGTGGTGGAACAATTTCCATTAGAACATAAAAAAAAGGAAAAAAAAACTTATCATTTATAACCAATGAACCATAGTTCAGTCCGCTAAACTAGTGCTGCAAGAGTGCGTGAGAAGTATTAAATTACTTAATTTAAATTTAATATAATAAACTAATTTAAGCTTAATATAATTAGTTTAACCGTGAGATTGTAAAATAAATAGTTAATTAGTTAATTTAACTTAAACTGTGGTTATTTAGTTAAGTTAATTTGCTTGATTTGTAAGTTAGTTAATTTAATTTAATTTAATTTACATAAGTTATTAAATTAGTTAGTTAATTGAAGAAGTTAGTTAATTAATTAATTAAACTAATTTAAATTTATTTATGAATTTTGGCGGCAAATTTGTAGAGGAAAAAGCCTACACAAGTTTTCGACAGAAAATCTGTCACAAAAAATTCGTAAAAAATTTCCACTACAAATTAGTCGTAATTTTCGACAAAAAATATTCCAGTATAAACTCTGCCTCAAACTGTTAATTTTCCAGTAGTGAGAAATGGTGGACTTCATTGAGGAATGTGTCTGTGCATAGGGAGTCCAATCTGTTTGATTGAGAATGGAGAATTGAGATGATGAGGATCAATGGGTAAGCCGCTACTCTGCATAGCATGAAAATATATTCGGAAGGTTATTTCGCGTGAGTTGGCCGAGGAAGGGACGGAATTGTGGAAAAAAGGCTTTTAAAGACAGGCATTTACACCATAATATTTAAAACAAACATAATTTTCGGCGAAAATTTCCGCAGAAAATATTTTTTTTGGAGGAAATGACCACCTTAGTGTCCTCCAACGAAAATTTCAAAATGATATACCGACGCCCCTTGGGCTTATGAATTCCACAAGCAATTTCCAACTATGTTGTTTTAATCACAAGGAGAAATTTATTCTTAAAGAAAACTTGTTTAAAGGAAAAAAATGCAATTAGCTTTTTTAAGTGTTGTTTAGTGCTTGCAGGTGCTCTTGGCCATAGGAACAAAATTAGAGGTTATCATTACAAAATTGTGCCTAAAAGGTAATAAGCGGAGAGTGATTGTTTCAGGCGATGTTTATGTGAACCCAGATGACGAGCTTTTCTGGTTTGGACGGCCTCGATGGCTTTTGCATGCAATCCATATTATCTTAACTCAGGTAATTATATGTTGGGCTGCAAACGAACCGAGCCGAATCGAGTATATGAGTGTTCATGTTTGAGTTCATTTATTATCAGCTTGTTCAAGTTTAGTTCATGATTGATTCAAGTTTTATTGTTTGTGTTCATGTTTGATTTATATAAATTAATGAGTGTTCATGCATGTTTGATTCATGTTCGATTCATATTTGATTCGGTTATAGTTTATCGAGCATTAAACAAGCAAACCTTAACAAGCTATAAATGAACTCTACTTCTAGATGTTCATTAACTTAACAAACGAGCTTTATTGAGCATTCTAACAAACTATTACATCGCGCATGTTCGTGAATATATTTATCAAATTTTTTTAGTTAATATATATATATATATATATATATATATATATATATATACATGACAAATCAATTAATATAGTGATAGAGCATAGTATCTATCCCATAAGAGTCGTGTGAACTGAAATAGGAGATGGGGTCGGGATTGGGAGGTTGAATCAGCTTAATTAATTTTAAAACTAACTCTTAATTAATTAAAAATGAATGGTTAGGATTGATTTATGCGTTAAAGAAAGATTCAAGGGTTGATTGGATTTGATCAAAAAAAAATAATAATAATAATTTAGACTTTATTAGATGGAATTTTGGGTTTGATTGATGGATTGATTTAGGCCCAATGATGTATCGGTTTGATCGAAAACGAATTAGATTGTATTAAATTGAGTCGATCGAAATTGACGAATCATAAATCGGGTTTGATTTGAGTTCGTTTTGGAGTTGAATTGAAACTAGATTGAATTGATTTTGATTCAAATTGATCGATAGGTTCGAGTTGATGCTACGTCATTAGGTGTTCACCTAAGGGAAATCCTGTGGGTGCGACATCTACACTAGGTTAGGAAGACCTAGGTGCTAGAGTTGATTCCGGGAAAATTGACCTCGAATAATGAGGTCAACAGCGGCGATAGAGAAATATATAGTTTAACGTCTTAGCATTGTACGAAGATCCAGCACAAAATCAGATAAGTGAGAGGGTGTAGCGTTCATAAGAGACTAGAGTTTTTACGTGGAAAACCACTGAAAAGAGGGAAAAACCACGGGGCATAGCCCAGTTTGAATGAATCCACTAGTATTTGTAGTCGATTACAAATAAGGCCTTCTTAGGGAGAAGGCCTTTGCTTGATGTCACAAATGTACATCATATAGAGTGTATTACATGGTGGGAGTTACAATAGATGTATTTGTTTTGTCAGCATGACCATAGTCGATAGGATGGAGGTCGGAAGGACCATAGTAAGCGACGGAGGTCGGGAGGATCGTAGTCGGCAGGAGACTGGGGTCTGAGTGATCGTTGTCTGGCGATGGAGGTCGGAGTAGCCATAGTAGGCGACGGAGGTCGGGAGGACCGTAGTCGGCAGGAGAACGGGTCTGAAAGACCGTTGTCTGGTGATGGAGGTCGGAGTGACCATAGTAGGCGATGGAGGTCAGGAGGACCGCAGTCGACAGGAGACTGGGGTCTGAAAGACCGTTGTCTGGTGATGGAGGTCGGAAGGACCGTAGTAGGCAACGGAGGTTGGGAGGACTGTCTGGTGATGGAGGTCGGAAGGACCATAGTTGGCGACGGAGGTCGGTAGGACCGTAGTCGCCAGGAGACCGGGGTCTGAAAGACCGTTGTAGTAGGGCGATACTCTGGTAGATCTCTAGGCATCAGTTAGTGGCCCTGTAGAAGTCCGGGCCTCAGGTGGTGTCCTGGTTGAGCTCAGGGTCTCAAGTGGCTGTTCGACGGAGCAACGACGTCAGGTGAGAGCCTTCGGCGGTGGTCTGATAGAGGTGAGAGCCTTCGGCGGTGGTCCGACAAAGTTGAGGGCCTCTGGCAAAGGTGATGGCCTCTTGCAAAGGTGAGGGCCTATGGCGAAGATGAGGATCTTTGGCGATGGTGAGGGCCTCTGGCAAAGGTGAGGGCCTTTGGTGAAGGTGAGGGCCTCATGTGTTCCTCACCAACCGGACGTAGAGGAACGTCCGGTCGGAGGCAAATTCCCGCCAAATACCGAGTTGTACCGAGTAAACACCAAGCAATATCAAATAATAATGAGGAATAACATCATGTGAAGACTCAATACCGAGTTTTTTCGAGCTATCTTGAGCAATACCGAGTTATACAAAAGTTGTACCGAGTTTTTCCTAGAAAAAACTTGGTACAACTCGGTATTTCTCGATATAGCTCGGTATAACTCGGTATTGGTCTTCAAAGAGCGGTATTCATCGTTATTATCAAATAATACCTAGTTGTACCGAGAAAATACCGAGTTTTTTGGCGAAAAATTAGCTCCGACCGGACGTTCCTCTACGTCCTTGCACCGGATGTAATAAAAGTTCGTTGGTGAGGGCCTCAGGTGTTGGTGAGTGCCTCTGGCAAATGTGAGGGCCTTTGGTGAAGGTGAGGGCCTCAGGTGTTGGTGAGGGCCTTTGGCGAAGGTGAGGGCCTCAGGTGGTGGTCCGACGAGGCTCCGGCGGTGGTCCGGCGAGGCTCCGGCGGTGGTCCGGTGAGGCTCCGGAGGTGGTCCGGTGAAGCTCCGGTGGTGGTACGGCGAGGCTCCGTCGGTGGTCCGGCGAGGCTACTGCGGTGGTCCGACGAGGTTCCGGCGGTGGTCTAGGAGGAGCTTCTTCCTTCTCTTCCTTCTCTTCTTCCTTCTCTTCTCCTCTTCTCTTCTTGCTTGGGTCCCCTCTTATGAGGAATGAGGGGTCTATTTATAGTTTTTATGTAGTTGCATAGCTCGTAAATAGGCGTGAGATCAGGGGCGAATTGGCAGTGGTCGAATGGACGGCCGATATTGAACCCTTCGATTGTGCACCGTTCGTTGGACATTTGAAGGTCTTAGTTATGTCAGAATTCCGCGATCTTGGACTCGTTGGATTCGTCTCATTGAGCTGCTAGATTCGAGTATAAGTTTGTTAAAATCGGAGACCGTTTGGTAACTCAAATTATTGTTTGAATCTTCCAACAGCGCTTCGGGTCCTTGATTTGGACCCATTTGGGCTCGGATTGGGTTGAATTTGGTGTCATTGGGTTCGTATTTCTGAGATGCTCAGTTTGACTGTAAGTTTGCTGAAATCGGAGTTCAGATGATCCCGGATTTAATTTTTGAAGTTTCCGACTAGCTTTTTGCCTCGAGATTCGTGCCCGATCAAGATAATTTTTGCATGGCGTATCAAATGAAAATTTATTTTATATTTTGAAAAAAAATAAAAGGCAATGGGATTTTGATTCGAGCAAAACTTTTAACTATATATTTTTTGAGAAATAAAATGTCAAGCATATATATATAATATTTAATTTTAATATTATGTTACATCTAAAATAAAATTTTTCTTAATTTAATTGCTTAAATGTCCCTCAAAATGGACGAATTTTAGGACTGATTTGTTATATATTTATAAATTATTTTCATTTTTTCCGTCTTAAAAGTTCAAATTACATGCATAGATATCGATGTGAAGGAACTAATTAGCTTTTCCTTATTGATTTAACAAAAAGATGGGATCAACAATGAGGGAAACGATCTTCACAGACAGAGTAGTGATGGGTCTCAAGAACTGGCACATGTTAGCAAAGAGTAGCCTCTCATTGAAAGAATCTAACACCGGCAGCACTACTCCTACAACTCCCTCTCGTACCCACTCTCTCTCTACCCATTCTCTGCCATTAATGTCCTATCCACCTGCTGGAAGCTCACTGTGGACTCATGGTCATTCCCCATCATTTATTGCCAGCCCTATAGCTCCTACAGCTTTAACTTCTTCAGTGCTGAATGCTCAATCGCCAGTGAACAGATCATCAAGAACTGCTGCGATTCAAGGAGAAGCCTCGAGCTCTTGTTCAAGTTCTCGGGCTTGGAATCGAGGGACAAGAATATTCGAGTTTCCTACGAGAAGGCAAGAGCTTGTTGAGATACAGCGAGTAACGGAGGAGATGATGGGAGCGATCGGAAGTCGTGGTGGGTTTGAGGGAGGGGAGATGTCTTTTAGGATGTGGTGGAAGCAAGAAATGATTTCTCCGATTGGTGCTCGTAGAACATCTTGATGTTTTAATTTATTGAAGGTTGAGACTTTGCACGGCCTCTTCATGAAATTTGTAATAATAATATTTTTTTAGCAAGAAGATTTTTTAGCTCAATTTTATTTACTTTGCCATTCATTTTTAGGGGAGATTATTCTAGGATTCTATTATTGAGTATTAGTTATGTTATAATCTATTGACTAATTGAGTTTGTTAAGGATTCTATAATAGAGCTAAGGCACGTAAACTATATTCGGCAAGTAGCTTCTAAACTCTACAAATGAAATTGACTTTTATTACTAGTTGTAGCAATCCTAGAAAAAATATATATTTGCCTATAAACTTGTCAATTGAATTTGTTAAGGTTACTGTCTTTATTAGAATGAACTCATCAAAGGAAGTTGCCCTCGTATAAACTAATCATTAGGTCTAAGGGTGCGTTTGGGACGGCTGCAGCTGTCGGTAAAGCAGGTTGTGAAGTTGTTGTCCAGAAAGTTGCTTTCTAAAGTTGCTGTACAAAAATCAATACATTTTATTTGGGTAGTATAACTGTTGAGTTGCTGTGTTGCTGCTGTATGACAACAAATTACCTTGATACCCTTTTATACATTTAGATAAATATAATAATCAACTAACATTTATGAATTAAAATTAATTAATTTTATCAAATCTTCTATAAGTTTATATATCAAAATACTATAAAATTTTAACTTAACTTTTTCTATCCCAAACGCACCCTAAGTAAACTAGTTAGAGGTCTCATGAGAACCTTCAGTCATGACGATCTCATCATTTATTTGGTGCTCATAAAGAGTTATATATATACAAAAATAGCTATAAGCTTTCCATGTTTACTCACTTTAGAGCAAGCACTTATTAAACATTTAATATTATTTTAGCTATTTATGTAGTTTAGGACATTATAATTATAAAGATAATACTCTCAACCAAGGAGTTATAAGTATAATGAAGCATAAAGTAACTGTAATAAAGGCAAAGCACCATGAAAGAAAACACCAAAACTTTACTTAGTTTGACTCAACGTAGTTTATGCCTATGACCACATAGAGATCAAATAATCTATAGCTTGTAGCTCATGCAACTTTAACTTCTAGGGCATTAGCATTACTAAAAAACCTATAGCTTGCAATCCTAAGATAACATAAGGATAATAACTTAGTTTTCTAAATTTGATAATTACCTCACTCTAGCCAATAATGTTGCTAGAACACCAT